ACACTTGTTAAATTGACACCCAACTACCACCTTTATTCTCGCTACTCAAGAGCAATTTCAACCTCTTCAATTCTATCAACCTCTCATCTAATTCAGTGATCTCAACTCACTGAACAAATCTTAATCTCACAAACTGTAACCGCTTTTATTTCTTGAGTTGTTATGTGAACCTACAAGCTAACACTGTTCTGCTAATCAGTTTTTCTGTTTTCTGTCTTACCTCTCACCCTCTTTTCAACTTCGAAAGCGTATAAATTGATGATGAAAACTTAAACTAAAAACATTGTAATGCTGCTTTCATTTAGATGCGTCAATTTTATTGTATCTCTTCTCTACCACCACTACTCAAACATTAAAGTATGTTATTATCATCTATATAACAACCATTGTAATTTCAGGTAGTCTGCAGTTAGCTGATGAGAACCTGTGAAATAGAATGATATCATTTTATACTGCAAATTTTGTCTTCCTTTCTTTATCGAAAACTACTTTATCTTTCTGTCTTCTGATTGGTTGATGTGTGTTAGTTGAGTTATTTTCTATATGCTCTTGTATTGATTGAACAACAGTTAATTCACACACACTTTCATACTCTGTCGTACTTTTCCACTAACACTTGTGTGACGGTTAATTTTCCTTGTTCAAAAATCCTCGTTTCTTCGTGAAGGTGAGGGTCTTCTGATTTTCTTCTTTCGCGTCAGGACAAATTAACTACTCAGAAATACCAGTTTGTACGCGTTATTGTCCGCCTTATATCTCATTAGCGTATATTTACACTCGGTCACACCATGATATCGGCAACAACCCCATCATATATTGGCGACGAGTTCCTAACAAGACGCTTTCTTTAACTTTGCCATCAAGAAGCGAAACGATTACAATTGAACTATTAGAGAAAAATTAGAGATATAAGAACAAGGATAAAGGGTTTTCTTGTGTTTCCCAATGAATGAAAAACAAAACGATATTGTCGTTTTCACTGACGTTTTGCTATATAATGCTTGTAGCTTTATCAATGTATTATTAAACCAGAATTTACAAAATCCACTCAGCTTATCTATAACAACTGAATCATCGTTCTCAGCATAGGATTATTTTTGCGTTATCGAATTGGTCCATTGGTAAAGATAACAAAATCAGGTTTAGATTGTTGGATTAGACCAGTGTGTAAAATTATAAAAGCACTGTGTGTGTGTTTACATAGTGAACTTGCTTATCACATTCGTGTTGATTTCGTCACTTCATGGGGAAGGGGAGGGAGGTGATGTAACCAGGTCAGATTCTGTTTTAGTCCATCATTCCTATTGAGTTCAGACAAATTGGATTCCATTTGATGATATGAAGTGCTTCTGATGATATCAGAAATTCTTTTTCATGTCTGAAACTAATTCCGGATGATGATTTCAATATTGTCAAAATCTATTTTGTGGCCTGATTGATTCTATAGCGTAGCGTGTTGTGTAGACTTGTGGCTGATTAGGTTTTCAAGCTTTCCTATTTCATCAACTGGATTTATTGCTCCGGCGGTAAAGTGGTGGGGGGAGGACAGGGCGGCTCAACGGTGTCCATCAGAAGAGTACTCAATAATCAGCACGACATCGGAGTTTTCGACAAAACACCAGACATGCGCACACACACACTACAAAGCAACCTTGTCCATGTAAAAATGATCAAATCACTAAGGATCCTCTATCGAATTGTGTGTCCACAAAATAAAATGCTTGTTTGGAATGTGATGGGATAATATATATATATTGGATAAACATCGCTACAGATAGAATTCAAGGTAATCACAAGAAATGAACACCGTAGAGTAGCATCTGTTCAGCCACCGAGTAATAAATCCAGTTGATGAAATAGGAAAGCTTAAAAAATAATCAGACATAGGTCGACAGACACGCTAAGCTACGCTATAGAATCAATCAAGTCAAAAAGATTGATTGTGATAATATTGAAATCATCATCATCATCCAGAAATAGATTCAGAAATCACAAAGAACGTCTGATGATATCATCATCATCAAATGGAATCCAAATTGAATAGGAGTAGTGATGGACTAAAACATAATTTGACCTGGTTACAACACACACACACACTGCTTCGGTCTCTCGCATGAAATGGCAGAATCAACATGAACGTAACAAGCAATTTCATCGTGTAAACACACGCCGTTTTTGTATAATTTTATACATATATATTAGATCCAACAATCTTACTGACTGGTTTCAACATAGAACTTTGTACCGATGTGCAGCAGCACTTCGAGTCGCTACACTCTTCACTTAGCAGATAAACCAACAGAAGAAAGAAGACATAAATGCAAAACAGAGTTATATGAGGCAAAAAGAATAGTAGTTAATATGGAAGAACAATATAGTTTCATTGGATATTATAAATCACAAGGAGTGGATGCATCTGCACCAGCGCCATCGACGAGAACAATGAGGTTGAGCTATATATATCACCCCCAAAAGTCTCCAGCCTTCACATTGGTGTTTACCGTCCCGAGGACCCCAACAAGGAATTCTCTACACCTTCCTACATCGCTTAAGTAATTTGTTGTGGATTTCATTGACTCTGGTGATGAAGCTATATTTTGGTTCGACCATCACTGGCTCTTTCTCACTCAACCCAATCGTACCGCCTATGTCAGCTAACATCGCCCAGTGTTGAGGATAGTTAGTGTCATGAATGCATGCATGCCTAACACATGTCCCTAACCATCCAACAGTCTACACCTGGTTTTTTTCTATTATCCTTAGCAAATCGGCCAACATGATGACAGCACACCATAAAAAAATCACCCTATGCTGCTGCTGAACGATGATTAAATTGTTATATATACACATAAGCTGAGTGGATTTTGTAAATTCTTCTGGTTTAATATTAATTACTCCTTTATGATGATAAAGCTCTATTAGCGGTATGCAGTAGCAGCAGCATTAAATAAATAGCAAAACGTCATCGTCGTCAGTCAGTCTGTCCGTTTTCGACATAGAACTTTGCACAAATGTGCTCCAGTTCAAGTCGCCACACTCCCTCCATGTACCACCACACAAAGCAACAGAAGAAAGTACAAGAAAAGCATAATAGATACAGTGAGCAGAGGTGTGAGACAAAGGAGTAATAACGAAGAACAAAACAGTTTCATTGGAAATCATCAGTCACAAGGAGTGGATGCATCTTCGCTAGCCAGCCATTGAGAACGATGAGTTTGAGCCATGTCACCAATTGTTTCCAGCCTCCATTGGTTTTTACCGTCCCGAGGACCCCAACCAGTCAGGAAGTCTACACCTTCCTACGTGACTGACTAGCTTAGACTAACTGTTGTGGATTTCATTGACTGGTTAAGCCATGTTTTTGTTTGACCGCCGCTAGCTTTTTTCCAGCCTGACCCTATATTCACTAACATTGCTCGTCGAGGAAGGCAATGACTAGGCCACACATGTCCTAACCATCTCAGTCTTTGTAACTTCACGACTTCGTCGATTGATTTCCCCTGTTTACCTAGTACTCAACAGACGCCTAACCTCAGTATTGCTCACCTTATTATGCCACCTTACACGGGAAATAGAGCGCAGGCACCTATGATCAAAGACAGCCAGCTAGTCTTTTCATGTCTTCCACTCTCAGTGGCCAGGTCTCGCTCACAGCTGGCCATAAAGGAGGACGGAGCGGACTGATGAGCAGTAGTACACCCACCCTTTGGTCGATAGTCGAAAATCTCAACTACACCAGAGACGGCGTCAGTCAGTCAGAAATAACGACAAAAACAACAATATCATCGTTTTGCTCTTTTTCATCCATATTCACATTGGGAAATACAAAAAAATAAAATAATCAACCTTTATTGTAATGAATTACTTCCGAGGTCATGCAGTGTGTAAGTCGTATTATATATGATTAAGATCAGGAAACTATGAGAGATAATCCTTCGAAGAATATAACTTGTACAACAATAAATTCGTATAGACACAACAATATAATGGATAAGATATCAAGTTCTTTCCTTTGACCTTTCATGGTCATCCCATATCCTATCTATCTCTAAGAAAATGTTTCGTCTTACCTTCTACATTAAAAAAAAGTTAAGACAATCAGGTATCAACCAACCTTTAGTTTTGCAATTTTCAAACTCCTGTATTTTACCTATTGTACCTACTCTATTGCTCTCCATTAATCTTTCCTGGGCTTCTCAAAAAAGATTATATCATATTACGAAGAGTATTAAATGCTGTGAGTAGAGCTTGTGGTCTGCCATTGAATGAGCTCGCTAATACTATAGTCGAGAGGCATATAAATTCCTGTACAAAATGGGCAAAGGCTATACTGTCAGACCTTCTGAACCCCCTGTATTCACTCACACCTATCCCCCTGTATCTCATCAGGTAGGACGAGAAGTCAATATAAGTTAGAAGTTATATGCTCGTACCACTAAGTATAGAAATTCTACAATACCCTATTTAGTCCGTACTTTATGTGACGAAGACTCTGTTAGACGTGAAACACATAAGTTACTATGTAATTAGCACAGTGAATCGACCCTTTCATCGTTCGTTCATCTTTCTGTATTTTATGGTGTCACACTTTCTGTCGTTTAATTATTACTCTGCTATTTTATTTTAGTTGGTATTACTATTATTACTACAATTTTATACTTTATGCATATTTTTCTCCGTATGGCATACAGTATTTTGCTATATAGCTGCTGTAACAATCGTTTAATTATTATTATTATGTAATGTGTACTTATAATTTTTTTTGTCGTTTTTGAGTAAATTAGATGCAGTAATATTGTACTGAAATGCTGAAAATTCCTTGCTGTATCATTAGTACTGTTTTTGGAATAAAGCAAAATTATTATTATTAAAAAAAAAGTCAAAATTCAAGTGAACACACGTTTTGCAATTTACAGAATAACCAAAGATAACACATAAAAAAAATTATATACAAAATACAAAATTATCATCATCATTATTCTGCTTTAGTATTCTCAGTATTATTGCCGGTCGCCTTGTCTTGCATCAACATGTATAGAAGAAAAAGGGAGACTGAGGGTACGCAACATACATTGAAGAAGGATGGAAGTGAACCATTCAAATCTTAGGATAAATATTACAAAAATATATCCAAAACCAAATATTGTAATTAACCAGAAGATAATTAAGAGGTAATTGTCAGTTTCTAGTGAAAATTCTGGTGAATTTTTGTGATCTACAGAAAGAATATGCAACGGTACGCGAGGAAGTAAACCTGTAAGAGGAAATATATATATGTAGATATAAAGACATATATATATATATATATATATATATATATATATATATATATATATATATATATAATATATATATAAGACAATACATCAGGTGTATAGATTTTGGGGAGAGGCATATAATTATAGGATTAATAGACGAATATAAAATGTTACATAACATGGTGTGAAATTTGATAACATAAAAATTTAATACTACTCTTTAGAATTTACCATAGAAAAGGAATCTGAACTAAGTATTCCGTTTCTTGATGTGTGCCTCAGCAGACGTAATGACGGATCTCTCTCAAAAGATCGATCCACCGAAAACGTACATGGAACGGACACAACTAACTAATTTTTACAGTTGGGTGCCTATTTCCAGGAAAAGGAATTTAATTCATTCACTCTGCTTTAGGATACGGAAAATCGTCTTTCTAAATTCGGTTAGTAAAACGTTCCCTGCAGCTAGATTACATATGACGTTCACGAGGCGAAAATTGTTCTCTACCTCTGTAAAAGATAAGCTCCCCCCCCGTCTGACCGCCTCCATGTGCATCTCTCGATCAGTTCACCTGCTCTTGTGGAGCAAGGTACATTGGCCGTAGTCAGAGGACGCCGCTTTCCACACGGATACGAGAGCATATTCCAACAGCATGGTTTTACAAGGGAGAAAGGAAATGTGTGCGAAGCTCTATCCTAGAACACCTCATCGACTTCTGTCACTCGGTCAACCCTGACCACCCTGATTTCAGGATCATATATAGAATTCATGCTAACTTGCCGTCCGCGTTTTCTTCGTTAAAGACTTCTAAAGACAGCTGAGGCCTTGGGAATTCATGACTTTAAGCCAGCCAGACAGGTCTTTGTGTACAAAAGAAGTATGTACAATCCCTACTTCTGCCTTGGCCGTAGAGGGATAGACATTTATTTATTTAGTTATTCTATCTACTTTTCCCTTATTACTTCTATTATTTTTATTATTATTACGACTCTCACTCTGAATCTTTTCCACTTGACCTACTTGACATTTTAAACCAAAAAACTATTCATGTGTATACTTTTTATCTTTATTTTTACAATATTAAATTCTATGTTATCAAATTTCACACCATGTTACGTAACATTTTATATTCGTCTATTAATCCTATAATTATATGCCTCTCCCCAAAACATATATATATATGTCACATGAATAATGCTATTAGAAATACAGTTTTAACAGCAACAAAATATCATTCAGAATATTCCTTATAGCCTGCACACACGTTACAAACATATAAATTGATAAAGATTAAGCCGCCTTCAGTGGACCACGCAATCGTAGCTGCTACCTACCTGAACGTGGCGGTGATGGTGGTCGGGCTTGTATAGCTCGCTAATACTATAGTCGAGAGGCATATAAATTCCTGTACAAAATGGGCAAAGGCTATACTGTCAGACCTTCTGAACCCCCTGTATTCACTCACACCTATCCCCCTGTATCTCATCAGGTAGGACGAGAAGTCAATATAAGTTAGAAGTTATATGCTCGTACCACTAAGTATAGAAATTCTACAATACCCTATTTAGTCCGTACTTTATGTGACGAAGACTCTGTTAGACGTGAAACACATAAGTTACTATGTAATTAGCACAGTGAATCGACCCTTTCATCGTTCGTTCATCTTTCTGTATTTTATGGTGTCACACTTTCTGTCGTTTAATTATTACTCTGCTATTTTATTTTAGTTGGTATTACTATTATTACTACAATTTTATACTTTATGCATATTTTTCTCCGTATGGCATACAGTATTTTGCTATATAGCTGCTGTAACAATCGTTTAATTATTATTATTATGTAATGTGTACTTATAATTTTTTTTGTCGTTTTTGAGTAAATTAGATGCAGTAATATTGTACTGAAATGCTGAAAATTCCTTGCTGTATCATTAGTACTGTTTTTGGAATAAAGCAAAAATTATTATTATTATTAATGATCCAACAAGGTACACTGACTGGATTTTTTGTTCCTGCAGATCTACCGACCATACCAGGTGTAGGTTGTGTTAGGATAGCGATCAGACTTAAAAGCAGTTACTGGCATAGTGTAAGATGCCAGTGTTTTTTACACTATGCTGGATTCTGTCTATTGGGCGAAGTCGTACTACTTGCTGGGGAATAGGGATGTAACAGCCGCCGCAGTAAGGTGTTCCCCTTACTCAGATGACCAGCATGCCAGCCAGCCAGCCACCTATGCTGTCTCTCCTCACCTATCTCGAGAGAGAGAGAGAGAGAGATTGAAGGGGAGTTAGAGAAGACCGACACCAAAAATTATACATCACGGCCTACCCTACAGTGCTCCGTAACCAGCGGGTAAGTTTACTAATACGGAACGGAACCAATCCAATCCAAGAAACCAGTTCTCATACAGGCCGTGTGTGACCGGTCGACCTCAAGCAGCTGTTCCCTAGAAGGAACTGCGGTAACGCAACACAAATCCTCTTTTTGTTCCAGGTACCTGAGGAATCAATCAATCAACTTACATAGTGGTGTCGGGGTGGGGGGTGCAGCCCGGAAATAACAACCACCCACACACACTTCCAAAAGCACACGGAGCCTTCCTGCATGAGCATCATTCTCCTTCACTCACATCCCCTTTCCTCTTCTCTTGTCGTCAGTGGAAAAATAAGCCAGTTAACTACTCACCAAAAATGAAGTGGACGTACGTTATAATGGAGTTAAGTTTAGTGGCTGATGTCGAAGTGAACTAGTGTGTGTGTTACCCGTATAAGCTTTTCCGGTACGGTACTATTTTTCATCATTAACTTGACAAAACAAGGTCAGTCCAATGAGAGAAATGAAAATTAACGTGAATATTCTCGCTAATTTCATTAAGGATAAGATTTTATTTTGAGGCGACGGTGTTAAATAACTTAGCTGCGGGTTAGCCACTCCTCCCACCGTACACCTCTTCAAATGCTCCCATATGACCGGGCGTCTTACATAGCCTCTCCTCAGGAAGTCCTCAGTCCTCACTGCCTTCACGTGGCGTAGGTGTTTTTCACCACCGAAGTGAGAGGGCACAAGCGGATGGATGACCGGCGCTCTTCACCGGGTTGACTGTCTGTCCATTGGATGACAGCCTAGGGGAGATGGCTAAACCCTGCCTGATTCCACACCTCCAACAACTGGCGTATGAAGCTCACCAGAGCTCACCGGTAGGCAGACGTATGGACAAAGGGCTTATTGGATGCCCTGGTGCATGTCTGGCCCCATTCAAAAAGGCGTATGAACCGGGCTCCGGTCACCGGCTGGCTGACAATGGATAGTCGACTCCTCCCTACTCCACTCCTACTGCCTTGTAGGAGGTCACACTTGTTTGGTTGTGTAAAAGCTAGAGCTGCACTCTTAAACAAAAGGCCGAGCGATTCTGGGGACACATTGCACTCGTACCTAATTCCCATGAAACTTCATCAACTCTCGTTGCTACAACATCAACCAAATTCCAGTACTGGTCGAACAACGTCGCCTTCGGTGGTTTGGTCATGTTCTGCGCCGACCAGATGACGATGTGGTCAATGAAATCAGTTCTAAATGCCTCCTCGCCATTTTCATCTTGGCGATGTCGCAGGGGAAGGGGACAGCTAAAAACACATGGCTTGGTACAGTCAGTCAAGGCTGATATGGAGTGACTGGGCTGGGGCTACAAACCGTCTACGGACTCCGTCTGTGGAACAAGAATTGGATAAGCCTGTCGTGGCAAAATCTTGCATCAGATCGCCGCGCCTGGGCAGCGATGATTCGAGATGTTCATGAAGCCGGCTCATCCTCCTGTAGGAGATAGCCGAAGTAAAGTAAAGTAAGTAAGTTAAATAACTAACTATCCTATAAAATTCACTAGGAAGATCAACAAAGGTGTAGGAAAAATAATTATAATATTGGTGAAAGTTATAATGATAATATAAATATATACATATAAGACATAAATATAAGGCATTTACAATAGTTCTACCATATAAGAAGTGAGGGGCGGACATCTGAAAATCTCCCTATATAGTTGGATTCTCAATTTCGCAGAAATTAGGGTCTGATTTCATACAAACTGGAAGATGTATAAGTGAAAACCAACAAATTGGCAGGAGAAGCATTCAGCGAAGATAGGACTTCACTTGAACATGGAGAAAACAGAGGTGGTGATTATGAAGATTCCTGGTCGCCAACAGTAACAGCCACAGCAACAACAACAGACAACAATTAGCATAAATTGGAGAAATCTGAAAGAAGCAATCTCCTCAACCTACTGACTTACCTAACTACCTACCTACCTGGGAAGCATCGTTTCAACTACACGCGGACGGAATTGATGAGGATATCATCAAAGCGAGGATCGGGAAGACAAGGCAAGCCTTCATTACTCTCATCAAGTCAGTATAGAAATCAACAGCACTCAGCATGAAAAATAAGATGAGGATTTTTAACCCCAATGTCATGTTAGTGCTACTAGATACGAATCAGAGGCTTCACGCCGCACCGCATCACGAAGGCCACTTCGAACGCACTACAGACCTTTATCAATAGCTGTCTTCGCTGAAGAGCAGATGGACAACTAGAAAAGATCAGCAGCAGAGATCTCTGGCAATGAACGAACCAACGCAACTCAACCCAACCCAGAAGGAATCAATTGTGGAACAAATATGCAGGAAGAAATGGAGGTGGATTGGATTGTGGTCATACTCCAAGGAAACAAACCATCAAGTGAGTTAGTGACATCACACGTCAGACTGTCTATCTATCTCTCTCTCTGTCGAGTGCAACACGAATGGGAGGAAAGCGGCGAGTTAGTTGATCGTCAGTACAAGGGTGACATGTAGGCGGAGGAGGAGGCGATGCGATGAGGAGATTGATATGTACCCACATGATGTGTGCTTTGTTTTTCACAGTCTATTATATTTTGCTATGTGTATATGGATCGATATTCCATTATAACTGACATTGTGCTATTGTCTGTTCACTAACTAAATAAACAATGTATGACCTTGTTATCACATGACAATACAACCAATCATGTTAAGACTGGCTATTTATTGGTTCATGTGTATTAGCCATTTTCATATATACTCTTGCTTTATCATTCTTCTCCATTCTTGTTCACACACTTTTTCGTACATCTAAGTACCCTTCCCACTCACTCACACACTTGTGTGACACTTATTTTCCTTGTCTGGAAAATACAAGTATCATCGCAAACCTGGTGGTGGTCTTCTGATTTCCCTCTTTCCGCGTCAGGATTATTAACTACTCGACGAGTACATAACAGAGATAAAAGCATGTGGGCGGATGTGGAGCGAGGTGAGAAAACGTTGCCGGAGAACCGAACGTAATGGAAACGTGTGACTGAAGCTGTAGGTTCCTCTAGGAATTAAAGGATACAATAATAATAATAATAATAATAATAATTTGGTCATAGGTTTGAAACCCACTCGGCTTTGGGTAGCCACTAGGTGGTACTGTTTTGTTTCTTTACATTCCACGTGGAACATCGAGCGCATTGAAACTAGAGCGCTTTCAATTTGGGATAAGATTTTATTTATACTTTTATATCAATAGAGCTTTCTTCAAATTTCGGTAGCACTGGTTTTACTTTTTAAAGGGTAGGGGGTCGTGCTAGTCTCAGGCCTCCAACTTTCCCACCTTACTGGGATGAATACCGGCTTAGAGAGAGAGGTTTAGGAATGCGCCGGCACAGGATGGGTCTTCGGACTATACGTGAGCGGTTGGCGAGCGTCCTACCATTGAACCACCGACACGTGATAGTAGTAGTACTGTTAACCTACATATAAGATCTGTCATTGTGACAGAAATGTCATGTGTTATCAAAGTCCTGAAATGCCGTAAGACAACACTGCAGGAAGTTAATTTATTACTCAATGCATGAATTACACTTTTATACGGACGAGACTGTGAACGCATATCCTGTTCGGAAGCAAAGGTACTCGTATAATTCAGTACAATCACTCCTCTCCTTGTAGGTGTTTATTAATTACATGTGAACATTTTATACATGTATTCGTTGATAGGATGTTGATGTTTGTGGTTAACTATGTGTGTGTGTTCCACTTGGCTAACAATGATGATGAGTCTAGTTGTGTGGTATGTTTTTTTCATTACAGATTTTAGCCTCTACCTACCTCAAAACCACACTGTTGGTTTCTTGTAGATAAATTTATTGAATACGAACCTTTTATCTTTGTGCGTAACACCAGTAATTGTCTAACCTGGCGACCTTAATCACTAAATCACCAATGGACACAAATAAATGATACAGCCTACCACCATTTATCGACGAGGAATGTCGTCAGAAAACTGCTGCTCCTCTTTGATCACCCTGAACACACTCTAGAGTCCGGCCATGTATACGCGTACAAATGAACGAAACAGGAAGGAAACAGGCGGACAGCTCTAAAAAGTCAATACGTCCACAACTTCATGAAAACAAAAATTCGATACTGAGTGAAGAAATAACTAAACACTCTCCTCTGAGATTGACACTAATACACCCACATCCCCTCAAGATGTCTGACATATTAATATCCATTCATAACTGTAGGAATGGTGGTAAAGAGTGTTGATATTCTGAAATAAAAAGGTTGGTTAAATGAAAATCGATCCCTACTGCTTCATCCTGAATGAAAGACTCAAGGAAACTCATTTCAGTGGGCGGGCGCTGAACATGATGGGTAGACAAAGCCGCTATGTGTCACACACACACACACATAAGCCGATCAAAATCGAGTAACAAAAGGGGAGATCGAAAATGCACCCACCCAATGCATAGGTGATACGATACAAGAATTTAGACTCACTACAGAAATGAGTTGTGAAAACTAACTTCTCAGCAATAGTGATCAATTGTGACTTGAGGAACAAGCCAGTCTACTTTTGACTGTTCTGTTAGGATATCATTTGGCATAAGATTCAGTCACTGGCTGAATCACAGTGAACTATATCTAGATAAATCTGTGACTAACTGACTGACTGGTTTCAATGTAGAACTCTGCACCGATGTGCAGCAGTTCAAGTCACCACACACTCCTTCCATGTAGCACACAAAGCAAGGGAAGAAAGCAAAAAGAAATGTAAAATAGAGACAATGAACAGAGATATGAGACAAAAGGAATAATAGTTATATGGAAGAACAGCATAGTTTTATTGGGTATTGCTAGTCACAAGGAGTGAATGCATCTGCACCAGCCAGCCAGCCATCACCGAGAACGATTACCTTGAGCCAGCCATCTCATCACCAATTGTCTTCATATGGAGGACTCCAGCCAGACAGTCAGGAAGTCTACACCTTTCTACGTGGCTAACTGGCTGGCTTAAACTAACTCTTATGGATTTCATTGACTGGTGATGAAGCCATGTTTTGGTTTGGCCACCACCACCACCACTGGCTAACCCTTTTCCAACCTCATTCTATGACAGTCAGTGGCTAACATTGCCGATTGTCGGTAGAGGAAGGCGATGGCTAGTCATGCATGCATAACACATGTCCTAAACATCTCAATCGATGCAGCTGCTTCACAGTACTCGACCGACGCCCAGCCTCAATATTGCCCAGACTATTATACCACCACCTAACACGCGAGATAGAACGAACGTAGACACCCATGATTGAAGACAGCTAGCTAGCCGACAAGGCTTTTCATGTCTTCCACTCTCAATGGTCATATCTCAATCAGCCAGGTAGCCATAAAAGAGGACAGAGTGAACTGCTGAGCAGTACACATGTCTTTTGGTAGACAGCCGGCCGGATATCATATCACGTCTACTAAGCCAGAGACGGCGTAAACTGGCATATGCCAAACAAGCCTTTTGTAACCGTAGCCAGCTGAGATTTCGCCATCGATCAACCAGTTGGCGTTAGCGTTGGCTGATGCAACTTCCTCCTAAATAAGTAAAGCGGTTTACAGGGTCCACCAACTACTTCCCTCCTACCTATCTCTAGGCTATGAGTAGCCGACGTAGTTCAGTCCAGTCCTGTAGCATCCATCATCTTAAATTTGACAGCAGGAGGAGTGAATCGCATGCCAAACATTCAAAGGTAGCTGCTTCTCCTCCTCCTCAAGGTGTCCAGTAGACCGTGCATGCTTGATTTTGTCAGCACCTTCACCTGCGAAGGAGGACTATATCATTATCAGCATAGTATTCCAAGTCAACAACATTATTCCCTTGCCAGGTAACAAATTAATTTCTGAGTTGCTGAAGTCAGTTCGGATTAAGTCCATTAATACATCTATGATGAAATTGAATAGAAAAGGGGATAATGGGCATCCTTGACGAACATCTCTAGTTGTCACCACAATTATCAGATGACAACTTTCCGTAAGCGCTTACCTGGCTGCATGAGTTCAAGTAGAGTGCCTTGATCAGTACAATGTATTTTCTCGGCATTCCCCCTTCACACCTAAACATCGCCAGAGCACCCCTCGGTCAGCAGAATCGAATGCCGCCTTTAGATCAAGAAATATAACAATTGTTAGACGCCGACGGTAAGTATGCCTATGTTTCAGGATCTATTGGAGGGTGGAGATATGATCAATACATCCTCTTTCTGATCTAAAGCCTGCCTAGTTCTCTCGTGTTTGTGCCTCCCGAGCACCACTTAGTCTACGCATTATTATTGAGCCTAGGACTTTAGATACCACCATATTAGTCAAGCTAATCCCTCTGTGATTATCACAGGAAGACTTGTCTCCCTTCTTGTATATGGGGATAATCAGCGACTTACACCAACCCAACGGGACTTCCACCGATTCTCGAACGCTGCCTAATACCTACCTTAGTTAACGCAGACAGTAAACTGTCTCCACCATACTTAAATTCCTCTGGAGTCATTCCACCATATCCTGCTGCTTTGCCTCGTTTCGGACTAGTGATAGCCTTAGTAGTCTCAGTTAGGGACTGGGGACCTGTGTCACATATCCTATTCAGGGAGGTGTTGGATATACTAGGTGGTAAAGTTGATGACATACACCCGCCTATGATTAAATTAAATAGATACGGCGACACAGACAAATCTGTACCTTTAGATTTCCACTTATCATCAAATTTAAAAAAATATAATGGTATGTGAAAAAAAAAGAAACTTACGCATATTTGACCAAATAAATTCAACCATCTGCTCTAAATCCACATCAGAACCAGAATACTCACTGAACACTTTACCGTTGACAATAATTTTAAGTTTTGGGACAAACAACATTCGTAGACTCCATTTATAATACAAGTAATCTTCGACTAAAACACCATAAATTGGTAACTGAGGATAAGCTCTGGCCAATGCATTGACATATGGTACTGAAGCTTTAGAAAATGGACACATAGTCGAGAAAATAAACAACACATAACAATCATGCAAACGTAACTGATGATCTGAATGTTTTTTTGTCGTCAGATGGAAAGATTGCCGTTGCCAACTGAACGGTACATCTATTGTAGATGAATGCGTATTGAATAGATTGGATAATTGTGATTTGCGTAAATACTTTATATGACTAAGGCTACCATTAATCCAATTGTAATGTTGAAGTTTACATTGTGGTATACTGTGAGAGGATTGTTCACTGACAGGCATATGGAATGCCCATCTTGACTGAAGAAATTTTATCTCTGCTAGAAGAGATTAAAAAACAGCAAAAAAAAAGAGATGCATATTTTACACCCAGTAGTACATGCCTACACACACACACATACCTGTATACAGTCCTCTTATTCGGATTGTCCGAATAATGGTAAGTAAATTAACGACATTGAATCAACTATACAAAACAACAGGTATCGAGGTTATTCAGGTAGTGAGTGATCAGATAGATAAGGGGAGGGTAGTATGAGACGTAAAATTAAGATGTGACTTCGTTATTTACCAATGCACCCACCTCTCATGAACACTGTTTGCTATATATGTGATTATAGTTTAGAAATGAGTGTGTGTAGTGAGAGCTGTCTGCTAACCAAAATTGGTAGACGGTAATTTACGTCAAATGTTTACGTCCCCAATATATATATTGGTCATGGGAAAAAACAACAAGAACAAAGACTAACTGACCTTGAAGAATTCAACAATCAATCACAGCAGACTTAACATGTGCAAATAAGATTCGCAGATATATCGCTTAACTTTCACAAGAAACCAATCAGATGTTTCTGTGCTAACAATAACGAATAATAATGTGCATGAAAATCTGTAAATATTTGTTGATTTTCTCAATAAACGGCTTGTTGCGTGACCCTTGTCTTCTGTCCTTACAATAGGGTTGCAGACAGTCTACCTCAAAGAACTCTTTTATTGAGGTGCACGTTGAATGTTCAGTTTATCTTCAATATTGAGGTTTTTATACAGAGAGAGAGAGAGATGGCATTGCGATTGGATTACCACACTGGGCCCATCGCTGGCTAACTGTTTTTATGATTAAGTTTGACAACTATCAACTTACTCAAGCCATAGGTCATTTCGACATTTATAGAAGATACTTAGTAGACGACACTTTTGTTATCTGCGGTAACAACGTGATTCTTAATGATGATGTCTTGTTTGCATTCAACAACTGTTAACAACTGTGCGTCAGTGGCACAGTGGTTAGGACTCTCGCCGACCATGCACATGGTCCGAGGTTCGAGCCCACGCCGACGCACACCTGATATCTATGGTCGGCCTGCGAATTTTGGGCTACCGATATCCATGCTGAAAATTCCACACTTGTACCAAAAATACGGTGTGGAATCAAGCTGTAATCAAAAATAAAAAAATACTTCTTTACAATTCACCATAGAAAAAGAATCTGAACTAAGTGTTCCCTTTTGTTGATGTGTGCCTTAGTAGTAGACGTAATGACAGATCTCTCAAAAGATCCAGCCACCGGAAGCGTACATGAAACGGACAACTAAATAATTTTTACAGTTGGGTACCTGTCTCCCAGAAAAAAACCTAATTCATTCACTCTGCTCTAGGCTAAGAAACATTTGCAGTTCTGATTACTGTAACTCAGAACTTGACGTCATAAAAGCCATGCTCGCAGGAAACTGTTACCCGGACAGATTTATTGACAGTAACATGAAAGATAAGCAGTTTAAAAAGAAAACTTTATTCATGAACTTGGAATTCAAAGGTGATCAAAGCTGCGGATACGCTCAAAAACCGTCTCTCCAAAATTAGTCAGTAAGACGTTCTTTGCAGTAAAATTTCGAATGACGTTCACCAGCCGCAAATTCTTCTACATCTATGTTAAAGATAAGCTCTCTTGTCTGGCTGTCTCCATATGCATCTATTTGTTCACCTGTTCTTATGGAGCGAGATACCTTGACCGTAGCCAGAGGACACTCTTCACACGGATACGAAAACATACTCCTGCAGCATGGTTTTACAAGGGGGAAAGGAAGTGTGTGTGTGAAGATCTATTTTAGAACACCTGATCGACTCCTGTGTCACTCCACACCAGCCCTGACAATGATTTTAAGATCATCTATCGAATCCATACTAACTTGCTAGTCGCGTTTTCTTCGTTACAGACTTCTTATGCCAGCGGAGGCCTTTGCCATTCATGAATTGTTTTCAGTTAGATTTTCTTCAGGTTTTACTCTAATTTACATAGATTTATGTATAAAAACTTTAACCAATGACGATGAATTTGTGGATCTAATAATAATAATAATGTGGTAAATGTTTTGAACGTCATTAATAACGATGACACATAATAAAGAGGAACTGACAACAGGTAATTTGCAGCTGATGAGAACCTGTGAAATCATGTTATGCTGCAAATCCGGTCTTTTTTTCTCTATATCGAAAAGAGACAAGTGTTCCTAAAATTGCAGTTTAATGGGGATGTGACTAGTGAAATCTTACATCTGAGATTATCCAGAGCAATATAAAACGGACTTATACTGTCATTATCCAGGTGCCGACCAATTATGATTGCTCAAGCAGAAGAGAAGCTACCTACCTAGCTGTGCCATTTCTATGTAGTGTATCTACAAATTTAGCTGCTTCTATGGGGACAAAGCTGGTTACACACAGGGCGAACAACTAGACAGCTGAACAGACGTACTAATGTGCGTCTTCCTTTATGTCTGTCTGTCTATCTGTTTTCGATATAGAACTTTGCACAAATGTGCGCCAGTTCAAGTCGCCACACTCCCTCCATGTACCACACAAAGCAACAGAAGAAAGTACAAAAAAACCATAATAGAGACAGTAAGCAGAGGTGTGAGACAAAGGAGGAGTAATAACGAAGAACAAAACAGTTTCATTGGAAATCAAAGTCACAAGGAGTGGATGCATCTTCGCTAGCCAGCCACTGAGAACGATGAGTTTGAGCCATGTCACCAATTGTTTCCAGCCTTCATTAATTTTTACCGTCCCGAGGACCCCAACCAGTCAGGAAGTCTACACCTTCCTACGTGACTGACTGGCTTAGACTAACTGTTGTAGATTTCATTGACTGGTACAGCCATGTTTTTGTTTGACCTCCGCTAGCTCTTTTCCAGCCTGACCCTATATCCGCTAACATTGACCATTAGTCGAGGAAGGCGATGACTAGTCAGGGATGCGTAACACACGTCCTAACCATCTCAGTCTTTGTAACTTCACGACTTCGTCGATTGATTTCCCCTGTTTACCTAGAACTCGACGGAAGCCTAACCTCAATATTGCTCACTCACCTTGTTATGCCACTTTACACGGTAGGGAGATAGAACGCAGGCAGGCACCTATGATCAAAGACAGCTAGCTAGTCTTTTCATGTCTTCGACTCTGTGGCCAGGTCTCGCTCACAGCTGGCCATAAAGGAGGACGGAGCGGACTGATGAGCAGTAGTACACCCGCCCTTTGGTCGATAGTCGAACATCTCGTCTACGCCAGAGACGGGGTAAACTGGCAAATGCGAAACGAGCCCCGTGTATTCGTGCTGAGATTTCGTCAGAGATCAACCCGTTGGCACTGGCTGATGGGACTTTCCAAATAAGTGAAGCGGTCAACGTGCTCCACCAACCACTTCACTTCCTATTTTTAAACCAGGCGTCGATGTAGTCCAGTCCTGTAACATCATGTTGCATTTGACGGGAGCGAATCGCTCGCATGCCAAACATTCGTAGATTGCGGCTTAAGGTGTTTAGAAGACTTTGCTGTATTTTGTCAGAGTCGTCGCCTAGGAGGACTATATCGTCTGCATATTCTAAGTCAACGAGATTATTCCCTCCCTGGTGGCAAGTCAATCCCTGAGTCGCTGAAGTCACTTAGTCACTTCATGGTTTGGAAAAGGTCAAATAAAATCTATAGGAAGTTTTATTTTGACTCATTTGATTGATGATAGCGGTCACCAAGTGATGAACAGAAGTAGTGCCTTTATCTATCACAATTCATCAAGCCTTTCCAACGGAATTCGAACCGGCCTTTTACACATAGCCGACGTTGGGGGGGGCGGTGGGTTCATTTCTAGGGAACAATAATTTTTTTTTGATTTACAGCTTGATTCCACACTGCATTTTTGGTACACGTATGGAATTTTCAGCATGGATATCGGTAGCCCAAATTTCGCAGGCCGACCATAGATATCAGGTGTGCGTCGGCAGGGCGTCGAACCTCGGACCATGTGCATGGTTGGCGAGAGTCCTAACCACTGTGCCACCGACGCACAGTTTAGAGACCGTTGCAGAAATTACACTGCAAAGAACAGATACTACACATGATCTTAGCTCAGAGAGCCGAGAAGCGATGGATAATCCTAGTGTCTTTGCATATGACAAAAGAATTTTGTTCTATCTTTGTCTCTCCCTTGGCCTATGTAAATTCCAATTAAAAATAAGCCTACCACCCAGTCTTATTTTCTATTTCCTTTGTACTTTTATATGATATCTATATAAACTCTGATTGTCTGTCCACTTCACCTACCCTTAGTACTGCGCAACTTAAGATTTGACCTTATTTATTTATTGAATCGTTTACATATATACGCGTATTATTACCTACGTTATTCTTACTGCCACCTGTACAAACCTTATTATCTTGTTATTTTTGTTATCATTATAAATTAGAGTAATTTTTCCTAAGTTAATCTGTTTAAATTAGAGTAAAGCCTGAAGATTTAACTGAAAACAACAATACTGTTCACTTACATGTCTTTGTTTTATTGTTTGGGATTCGTTTCAGGAAATGCCTCCAAAGCCTCAGGATGGTCGGGGTTGGGTGCCTTGCGCTGCGGGTTGGCCACCCCTCCCACCGTACACCTCTTCAAATGCTCCCATATGACCGGGCGTCTTACATAGCCTCTCCTCAGGAAGTCCTCAGTCCTCACTGTCTTCACGTGGCGGAGGTGTTTTTCACCACCGAAGTGAGAGGGCGAAAGCGGATGGATGACCGGCGCTCTTCACCGGGTTGACTGTTTGTCCATTGGATGACAGCCTAAGGGAGATGGCTAAACCCTGCCTGATTCCAAACCTCCAACGACTGGCGTATGAAGCTCACTGGAGCTCACCGTCAGAAGTATGGACAAAGGGCTTATTGGATGCCCTGGTGCATGTCTGGCCCCATTCAAAAAGACGTATGAACCGGACTCCGGTCACCGGCTGGCTGACAATGGATAGTGGACTCCTCCCTACTCCACTCCTACTGCCTTGTAGGAGGTCACACTTGGTTGGTTGTGTAAAGGTTAGAGCTGCACTCTCAAACAAAAGGCCGAGCGATTCTGGGGACACATCACTCGTACCTAATTCCCATGAAACTTCATGAACTGTCGTCGTTGATACAACATCAACCAACATCAACCAGTACTGGTCCAACAACGTTGCCTTCGGTGGTTTGGCCATGTTCTGAGCCGACCAGATGACGGTCTGGTCAAATCAGTTCTAAATCCCTCGCCATTTCCATCTCCATCTTGGCGATGTCGCAGGGGAAGGGGACAGCTAAAAACACATGGCTTGGTACAGTCAGTCAAGGCTGATATGGAGTGACTGGGCTGGGGCTACAAACCGTCTACGGACTCCGTGTGTGGAACAAGAATTGGATAACCCTGTCGTGGCAAAACCTTGCTCGCATCAGATCGCCGCGCCTGGGCAGCGATGATTCGAGATGTTCATGAAGCCGGCTCATCCTCCTGTAGGAGATAGCCCAAGTAAAGTAAAGTAAGTTTCAGGAAATAGGGGTGTTCGCATTTCTTGAATAAGGGAAATTATGCGTATTCAGAATAGCCTCTATCATAGTAGGGTTTTCAGTTTGGACATGCTTCTTAATGATAAGGCAGTAATTAATCTAAACAGAAATCTAAATCTAGACAAGTGACTTACTTACGATGAAACGACGAACTTATCAAGCTTAAGTTACATTGTATAAAAATGGTGGTAATTTTATGAAGAAGTGGTTGAATAAAAAACGTGACTTAACCGTTTGAAATATTGTAAGCGTTACACTAAAATCAGTGAGCACCTGACTGCTAAAGATCTAAGCTTAACATTATTTGGAGCATATATAAAAACATTATGTCACCTTCCACATATGAAATCTTAATCGACTAATCGTGAATGCTCAAAGTAAGGCGGAAGATAAATAATTATTATGTCATTTTAACTGCAAACAAGATCAAGACATCAGCGTGAAGAGGAAACATTATCTGAACTAATGTGGTAAATAAGACACAAAACTAAGGTTTTTCATCATATTCATCAAACATTGCAAATAAGATTTGAACTAAGTTTTTCAGCACAAATGAAGTGCTGACGATTTGGAAAAAAGTTTTAGCCATCATGCTACTTTCTTTAAGCGAGTACACGGACGCATGTGATGACAAGCCTGTTATCTACTTACCTTAAACTTTCGACGCCTAGATCTCAATTCATGGCCTGTTTGAACACGGCATTTTAATCTGCTTACGGAAACCTCTTTCTTTGTGCCATACCAGACAGCATATTAGGATGAGTGAATATTGAAACAGAAATCCTTCGATCCCACCCTCCCTATATAAACACAGCTGGCTTGTTTGATGTCAGAGTGAAACTTTTAAGTGCTGTCATACAACGTTCCACTACCGGTATGACCTCATTTTTATACACATTCCCGCCAGTGTACATGGTTCTCACTATGATGGTAACGGGTCATGTTACAACCGCTGTTAAAGAAAAAACCAGGTATGATGTGGCTTGCAGGGGCATTTACTAAAATTAGTATAGCTCGATAAGTCATTGAAGGATGCAAGTCTGACTGCCACATCAATTTAGCAGCTATCTATCAAAATGGCGTAGCCATAATGCAACGCAAAATAATATAGCTCGTGTTGTAGGCCAGCATGTAAGGCTGTGTTTAACTAAACCGATTTTACGGTGAAAATATGTCCATTACGTGCTCGTCCAGAAGTGAGACCTGCGCGAATATCTCGGTTTTTTTTGTCCCCACTCAAACCTGGAATCACTGGTAACTTTAGACATCACGTTAGTCCAGTTACTTATTATGTAACTGGTTACCTCACTCCATGGTTATTGGCCTAAGCCTACCAGTTGAAAATAAACGTAATTTACACAATGCATTTACTTCCTCAGTGAACCTGGTAAAGAAATCACTCCCAGACTGCAGTGGAGAAGAAATCTTGTTCCACTGTCTTAAGTTATTTTGAAATACAGACAAACTATATGATTCCAATTAGTTCTATGGGAACGATATTTATTCTGCCTACAGTTGGGACGTAAATGCCAGAGTCAGATTATAAGGATAGAAGGCTCTTGTTGCCTATGCCTGCGATATATATATATATATATATATATATATATATATATATATATATTGTGGTGACTTGGATTAAAATGCCCCGTCCATCTACTTGACCATGTCCTGCTTTTCCGGAAACGTTCCACCTTGAAAACGTCTGTCCAGTTCAAGGAAAAGACACTATGGAATCCGTTGGTTTCAATACCACAGTAAGCACCTGAGCAGAAGCTGTACTACTGTATAATTTTTCACCAGGTACCCTACGGAACTATTTTATTTACCACTACACAGACTACAAGATGTTGACAATGCTTAGAATTTCGGTTGCCCTGTACATTTCAAACCTCAATTTCCGTCCCGCAGAGAAGATTTTCCTCAGTCCTGATTTCACTGGGAGTTTGTATTTACAACCCAGCTATCATTTTTTTCGGGCGCATTGCAGACTTATTGGGGCAGACTTAGGGCGCATTGCAGACTTTTCGGGGCGGACTTCGGGACAGTGTCCCACGTAAGTAGATTTACCCGAAGTTTTTTGCCCCAAAAAGTCTGCAATGCGCCCGAAGAAAATGTTAGCTGGGAACACGCACCACGACCATGCAAGAATTGCTGGAAGTGGTTAGCGCGGATAAAAATAAATAAAAAGAGTATAGTGGCGGTTGGCATACGAAACCCTGGTCTGTTTCGAAAAATAGTGAAGTTTAAGATATGTTAAATATATCACCAATAAAAAATTGCATTCAGAGACAGATTCGAGTGGTAATTGATAATACTTACGCCATATACCTTTGTCTACACGCTTTTCGACGAAACTGTTTTTATGACGCGTGTAGGGTTTTACAGGCTCTGTCGGCTCCTCCCCCAAATCTCCATTACTCCCAACAACTCTTCCGTTTATCAAGAAGAAAAATATGAGTAGCCCGCCCATTCAATATGCAATGAATTTGCTAACAATTTCAAGGACACTGGCCATGGGTGCCTCTGTCAATATCTGTAGTGTACCTCTGTATTGATCCGGTCCGTACCTCTGACCAACTGAAATAAAAGTGAGATAAGTACCATCCACCTGAAAGTATGATTACCAGAATATAAGACGAAAATGCGATTCTGCGTAAACATCTATGGTTAGAAGAAGCATTTCCTCCTGCCACTACATTCCTCTTATTTTTAATAAAAGCCATCTACAAATTCTAATAAATATAATTTTTTTTGTTTTCTGAAGGGCAGTTCATGATGAGAGTTCAATTCCTTCAGAATGTGTTTAAATTACACGCCTATCTTCTGGTCAGCTATAAGAAGTGGAAAGGTCGACAGACTACCCTGCTGATAAGTGCTTCGTGTTATATTTCTGATCACCAACTCGAAAGAAATAGCGAGCTTTACAGTGCGAACACTTATCTGGATAAACACCTCCAGTTGGTTCGTCGTTGATTCATTGCCAGTGACCCCTGTTGCCGATCTTTTCTGGCCGGTGATCTGACCTTCAACGAGCAAAGTATTGAGGGAAGGCAGCTGTTGATGAAGGTGTGCATTTCGTACGAAGTGGCCCTCATAAATCGGCGCGGTGAGGCACCAAGTCTCTTATCTGTATATAGTACATTTTAGTAGAAAACCCACATCTTTTTCATGCTGAGTGCTGTTGATCTCCATACTGACTTGATGAGAGTAACGAAGGCTTGCCTTGTCTTCCCGATCCTCGCTTTGATAATATCCTCATCAGTTCCGTCCGCGAGTAGTTGAAACGATGCTTCCCAGGTAGGTAGGTAGTTAGGTAAGTCAGTAGGTTGAGGAGATTGCTTCTTTCAGATTTTATGCTGATTGTTGTCTGTTGTTGTTGTTGCTGCTGTGGCTGTTACTGTTGGCGAGCAGGAATCTTCATCACATCTTTTTTCTCTATGTTCATGTGAAGTCCTTTCTTCTCTGGATTCTTCTTGTGCCAACTTGTTGGTTTTCACTTGCATATCTCTTCCGGCAGCTTGTTGGAAATCAGACGTATAACGTCGGCAAAATCCAGATCCAGATCCTCGAAGTTTTATCTTGTACGGGTCTATTTAATGTCAGTCTCCTCGTCGCTCACTGTGTACCTGTCGGATTATCCAGTCTATCGCGATCAGAAAAATCATTGGAAATAGTAGTAGGCAGTCTTGTCTTACTACCGTTTTCACTTCGAAGGATTCCGTGAGTTTCCCTTTGTGAATTACTTGGCATGCAGCACCGTCGAACAACTGTTGGATGAGGTTTATAATTGCTGGCGGCACCCCGTAGTAGCGAAGTAGTTTCCAAATCACGTCTCGATCGCCCCTGTCTGATGAAGACCTTTTCAAAGTCAATGAAGCTGAGATGGATAGGTGACTGCCATTCCAAGCTCTTTACGTATAGAGATAAACAGAATAATGAGGAATTTTCCGTGTTCAGAGCAACATAATAGTGCGACCCTGTCATATTGTCCAACCAAACACCTGTCATGCGCCAGACATGCATCTATTCGAGCAGGAAGTTATGTCACTGTTACAACTGTAGGGAATTAAATGCGGACGTTGTCGCCTTGTTCTGTCTGCGCCTGACCAATATGCCTATCTGCTTGTGGTACCTTCCGATTCAGTGAACCACGCAAAATATCAAAAGAAAAAGGCTGGACTGTGACTGTGTATTGTAGCGCAACAACAACGACAAAGAAACTTATGGTATTTATACATTTTTACAACAATATAGACAGCTAACAGCTTTTGAAATAATTGATCGTAATAGTCAATAACAAAGTGCGTGAGAAATGATGATGTACTATTTATGCGAGATTAACAGTCAAATACAAAGTGCGTGGGATCCTATCACCTCTCCCCGTAAAAAGTGTAGGACTTTCTTTTTGGATCTATTTGAAAAGGTTTCGGAGCTCTTCGTTGTCGAGTTGACCTTCGCGTGGTACTGGATAGAGTGTGATCTGTGTCCCGGGCTTCCGGCTGCGGAAGATTAAATGTATCTACTAATACTTCTAACGTGAGGTCTCGTCCCCCATTGTCGGGTCTATCTGACGCATCTCGTATATGATTCGTGTGTCTGACACATAACTGTCGTTCTACATTCACTTTGCATAAAACCCTTCCTTTCTGCCCCACTATTTGTCCCCGAATCCATCTCGGAGGTGAATAGCGAAAATCTCGTACATAAACTTGCTGATACAATTTGAAAACTCGACGTTTAGCTCCGTGATGGCGATTGAATTGGTTTTCCATTTTTGTATTTCTGCAGCCCTGCTTTACTTGCCTAGGCTCAATTGAGTCGAGGGCAGTTCTGATCTTCCGGCCAAACATAATTTCCGCTAGGGATAACTGATTTGGGGCGGAAGGATTTGGCGTCGTACGATAATGCAGCAAGAATCTATCCAAAATTTCTTCTGTTGTTCCTTCCCCTTCGCTTTTGCATTAGCACGCCTAAAGGTGTCGACGAAACGTTCAGCCTGTCCATTCGGTTGGGGACGATACGGGGGGCTACGAACATGCTGGATGCCAAAGAGTTTGCAGAAATCTGAGAACAGTGATGAGGTGAACTGCGATCCATTATCGGACACCAGAACATCAGGCATACCAAAACGACAGAATAGCAAACATTATGCATTCATTAACGATGGATAAGGACTGGCGTCGTTGGTAAAACTGTTTTAAAACATTTGAATGAACATGTGGAGGCCAGCCAAATCGGATGAACTTTGATACTTGCTGTAAAACTGGATCACGCAGTGTGTGTCTGGCAACCTCAACTGCAGTCACCGGAAGAAGTTGAGTCGCGCCTACCAGAACTCTGTTTACATCATCTTCAACAGAGATGGATGCAATAACAACATCCTCGCTTTCCAACTTCTGATGGCTTAGCAGCCGTGATAATGCATCTACCTGGCCAAATTCAGAGGTAGGTTTGTATTTGATATCAAAATTATATCCCAGTAACATGACAGCCCACCTTTGAAGCCGATTCGCAGTGTACACTGGAATGCCCTTTTTCGAACCAAATATCGACAACAGGGGTTTATGGTCAGTAAATAGAGTGAATTTCCTACCATGAAGCATTTTGTGAAACTTTTTGACTGCGAAGATAAGCGCCAAACCTTCTTTCTCAATTTGGCTATATTTGCGTTCGGTTGTATTCAGTGTTCTAGATGCATGTGCAATAGCTTTCTCCCTTCCGTCAGGAAAACGATGAGATATAACAGCACCAATACCATAGTCGGATGCATCTGCAGCAAGGATGATTTCAAGACTTGGATCATAATAAGTAAGCAGCATGTCTGACTGGAGTAACGATTTTACTTTTTTAAATGCATTTTGACATTCAGGTGACCAATTCCATTTTGCATTTTTCGATAACAGGCGATTCAGTGGAGCACGTATGCGATGAAGCTCTGGTAGAAATGCACTGTAATAGCTGATGAGGCCAAGGAAAGATCGCAGAGTGGCAACATTAGTGGGAGCGGGCATATTCTGAATAGCACGTACATTTTCTGGGTCTGGTCGACGTCCATGTTGATCGAAAATGAACCCAAGATACTTTACTGAATCCATGAAAAATGTACATTTATCCTCTTTAAGGTAGAACCCAAACTCTGACATTTTGGATAGCACAGCGTCAAGTCGATCAAACAATTCAGACTTACTACTCCCTGTGATTATCACATCGTCGAGGTAGACAGCAACACCAGGTTGGTTAGCAAGCATAGTATCCATGATCTGCTGAAAAATTGCGGGTGCTGGTTTCACACCAAATGGTAAGCGAGTAAACTGGTAGAGACCTCTATGAGTGTTGATTGTTAGCAACTCTCGAGACTTTGGTTCAACTTCTATTTGAAGGTAAGCATCAGCAAGGTCAATTTTTGCAAAACATTTACCACCATTAAGTTTGACGAATAAGTCTTCTTGAATTGGTAATGGATAAGCATGATCCTCTAGAGCATCATTTAACCCAGTTGAGAAATCTGCACACAGGCGAATGGAACCATTTGCTTTGCGTACAACAATTATAGGGGCAGCCAGGGCGAATACGTTACTGGTTTGATGACACCCAATGCTTCCAGTCTGTCGAGTTCATTCTCAACCAATATGACAGCAGCATACGGAACTGGACGTTTTGGACGAAAAACTGGCTCCGCGTTTGGCTTTAGAGACGAAACAACTTGGGTAAATTTGCAGCAACTAAGTTTGTCCTGTAATGTACTTACGTTTGCTGGCGAAATCGACTTTGGAAGTTGTGAAAATGGTCTGTACTCGAGGAGATTGTTTCAGCTTGAAATGACTACTTCTGTTCCTCACCGAAGGATTTTTCTGCGGTGGACAGTAACCCTCCTTATGTCCAAAACGGTGACAATTACGGCATTTATGTTTCTTGAAAGGACAGAGCTTGACAAAATGCCACGAACCACAGTGCCAGCACACTGAAGGAGGTTTAGCTGAATTCTGAGGCAGATGTGCTGTGTGCTTAACGGTGATCGGAGGACTTTTCACTGTGTTAATTGAGCCAAATTCAGACGACTGTCGTTTGCACTCCACCATAGCAGTATCGTGCTTCAAGTTGATTAAACGTAGGCATTCTGCTGTCACCATTTGTAAAGTCATTTTCGGGTCTTGCTCCACGAGTGACAGAAGTCGAGTTCTTATGTCAGTATCTTCTGGGTTCTTCAACCTACAAATAAAAATCAAACACTTGAACTGATCTGATGTCATTTCGTGTGGTTTGAACCTTTCACATTCCTTGTTCACTTTGCCAGCGTAAGTGACATAATCATCGGAAGGCATTTTTGTCAACTGAAAACATTGATACCGAATATTAAACATGGATGACTGTTCACCAAAGATTTGTGATAAAACGGTGACTGTCTCATCGAATGATAACTCACGTGGGTTCTTGGGCAGAATGAAGTTAACATATCTGTTGTGCTCAGCA